GAGAAAACACTTCATACAGTGATTATTGGACCTTTAAAGAGTATTCTTAGGAAGTTTCAGCTGAATCCAAGTTTGAGCGATTTTCATCATAGTAGCACTTTAAAAAAAGGTCTCTATCATTGCAAGCTCACAGTTTGTCTTGTTTCCATGCAAAGGCACAGCTACCTTTCAAGATGGCACAGGGAACTGTGAAAGGGCCTATTAAACTTTGGCTTGTCTTTACTGCAGTTTTCAATATTTTGCAAACTTGGTAGTTGCAAGCTGCATGCTGGAATTTGTTTTTTGCTGCTGTCAATCACAAATAATCAGTTGGCACCTTTTATGTTCTTGACTGGGGGTAATGAAAAACCAATTTCACACCAAGCCTTGACACTGCCTTGACAATTCTAGATTTTGTTTTAGGAAAATTAAGCAGTTCTGGAAGGGTTGCAGAAAAACATTCAATAGGTTGAACAATTTGTCCCAACATAGTGCCACTGTGGTCGATGTCGTTGCTTGCTTGACAAGAGCAAAAAAAGAATTGCATGTTGCATGTTGATTTTTGAAGGGGTAGGGGTCGATAACCCTCAACTCTAAAGCCCCATCGTAACCCCGTAACCCCCCCCCCCCCCCCCCCAAATTTACTAGAATTTGTTAACATTTCCTGGAACTTTTTTCCAGGTGCAGTAAAACCAAGAAGACCAATCAGAGAACATCCGTACCAGAGATAAGGTGGGCACCGACCATGAGATGAAGTGGCGTAATGCTGCTTATGCTCTTGATTTGCAAGTGATATCGATCGTGTTAAAATTGTATCTATTTAACTATACTGGTAATAGGAAATGGACTTCTCCTACGAATAACTGAATATTTTACACTAAAGGGTTTGTCGCGAGCTCAATTCTATTTCCACACTTCGAAACAATAATATGAATTGTGAATTATTGAAGAGAAAATCGGAAATCTCTACTATGTCTATAAATTCCTGCTGGATTTCACCAGGACTTCTGGATTAAGAAGAAGAGAAATTCCCTTGTTGCTTGCTTCACAAGGAGTTTTAGTCTGATGACTAGATGGTAAAAAAATCTTAAATTTCATAATTTTATTCTATCAAAAAGTTTTAGAAACCTCAATTTATATATTGCAGTAAATTTTGAATTAACTGCATTCCAATTTCTTGTGGTGTATGTTAGTTTTCCCATGTCACATAACATGTCATTCCCTTTGGTTTCTTTTTTCATCAGTAACGCATGAATAGATACATCAATATTAAGGAAAGTCAAAAAATATTATCCTTGAACCCTGGTTCTTGCTAGTGGTGCAAGCTGACATACGCATAAACACAAGATGAAGTCAAAGCAAGAAAAACAATCTTCCATTTTTCTTGCGTCCCTTCTTCTTATAGTGAGAATATGGAGTTGTTTCTGCTTCGGTCGCTAGTGAGAACAAGGCTAAAGGGAATGACATTTGGACTGAAATGGGAAAGCATTAAACACCCAAGTGGATGACACAATAGATTGAGCTTTCTGAAACGAAAAATAGATTTGACATACAGTTTTATTTTTTTTGTCCAAACATTTATGGACCAAATTTAGTGTAAGTGCACAAGAACTGGGAGATATTGCAGTACAATATATGAGAAAACTAGAAAATTTAACTAAGAAAATTGACTACAGATTATTTCAAAATGGGATCCTGAATAGATTTTTATTTTTAATATCATCAAATATTAATCATTGATTGGTTAATTAGAACATTTATAGCAAAATCAAGTAAAGAGTTTTATACAAAATTTTTATAAAGTTTATATTGGAAATCATATTATTATCTATTATTTTTGTGGGTCTGTTCTGAGATGTTATTGTTTTGTTATGAATTTTCCTGTTTATAAATGAGTGATTGTAATCAAAATAATTAATATTAATAATTATAAGAACAGTGCAAGTTATGAGGTTTAAAATAGTGATAAAATGGCATCCTCTGTGAATAGCCAAATGGAAGTATTTCTTGGAGGAGAAAGGTTTATGATGCACCATTTTCTCCTAACATGCATACACAAATTCTTATCTTATGTCTTAGTTACTAATGTCTAACTGTTATGAGAAGATAGATTTTGATATTCTTGTTTTGTCCATTTGTTGGCTGTCGTTTTTTGCGATGTGATCATATTTGCCCAGCAACGCTACCACTACGGCAATTCACTAGTTCACTGAAACATGCTTTAACAAAGTAATTCAAACTCACCTAATCTTCACCAATACTGCTATCCTAGGCACGCATTATTTATACTTGCACATCGTCAAATACTTGAACACATATTACTGCTATTCAACACTATTGAATGACATAAATCTCTTCAATAATCAGTGCACTCATAATCTACGCAAAAGAGCGTAAAATTTTCTATGCGAGAACATTTTACTCACTCTTAATAACCTTCCTATTAACACCATAAAATTAAAATTAACTTTTTCAGGGAAGAAAAAACTTACCGTAAATTAATAGACTAACATGATTTGTTCTCTTGTTAGAGACTGGTAACCATAACAACGAAGAGCTTACTAATATGGCGTTGCTGCGTGATGTTAACATGGCATGTTGTGTAGTAACAGCTTAGCATATGTATATTTCACCTAGAATATGTGTATCACTTGAAAGATGGAGCTAAAAAGTCCAATTTCTTATCAAGGTTTCATTATCTTCCCATTACTTCTATTTGAGTTGTTCATTAGTTTTCATGATGAAACTTAAGGTCAAACTTCAGTTTTCCTTCCTTTGCAGAACACACTAAATTCCAATTTTATTTGTCAATAGCATTTTTCACAGCTACTAAAAATAGATGTTGCAAAGCCTCGGGGATAGAAATGTTGACAAGCACTGAAAGTAGAACCTTCAATTACAAGGAAAAGAATAGAGTGCAAACAATTAATCCGTGAAACACTAATTACTAAATAGTACAAAATAGTGCTAATTAAACAATAGAAAACAATGGAAAACAATGGAATTTGCATGAAATTGTGCTATTTAGTATTACTAAAGTTTTGAGGTTATATTGTTTGCACTCTAATAATATCATTCCTAAAACCATAGTTCTTCCATGAGATTATAAGACTATGAAACAATGTTGCAACATATTAGCATGTGCGCTTGGCTTGGGTTGTCCACATTTCAATCCCATGATGCAAACTTGTGACGTCATCCGTGGAAAATGCTATTAGCTGTTTTAGGGTATCAATAGAATTTTGAAAGATTTTGTAAGGTTTCTCCATATTTCTGCAACCTCAAAACTTCCAGACCTCCCTGTGGTTTCTTTTTTCTTTTGGCAATTAAAATAATGAGCTTAGATAATGGTAAGTTTGATGGATGTAAGCTACAACCCCCCTTCCATAAAAAGGTGCTTTTCTGGAGTTCCTGACATGCAAAAACAGGAGAAAGCATTCTTATCTTCTTCCCCATCAATTTATCAAAAATTCTGGGGGCAAAAATTATTGGAGAAAAAATTAAAAAAAAAATTAAATCTCAGTTCCAATAATTGAATTCTGGAAATAAAATAAAAAACTTTTGCATCTCAGTTTCGATAACATTTGACTTTGATAAGTTCTTGTTGATATTTTGGCTCCACCTTCCTGTCTCCAGTGAAACACTAGACCTTGTACATGCATAACGTACATAGAGGGCACTAGTTAACTCATGATTACAGATTTAAGTTTTGTACCAGATGATTCATAATATATTTCTTTATATTGAGAGTATCAATTATATATCAAAAAATCAATTGTCATTGTAATATATATAAAAAAAGAGCAAGGAGAGCCAGCATAGCAGTTTTAAATGTCCAAGAAAAGATTTTTGGGAAAAGGGATAATTTTCAAATGTTTGTTTTATTCAAGCATGGGCTTGTATGTGCTTAGCCTCATTTTTGTAGGTAGTGGTACGTCGTATTGGGCTCTCCTTGCTGGTCATGATTAATAGATATCGATTAATTTTTTAGCGCAGTTCCTGTTTGATTCTATGTTTTGTACACTAAATAAAAAATGCTGATTCATATGATAATGGATGATCCATTAAGATTCTTAATAGCTAAGTTTAGCAGGTATAGGCTGCTAATCCTGCTAGATCCCTTTAAGGTTACTGTATCAATTAGAAAATGGCTGTTTGGTTATTGTATATCAGTTTGAAAAGAACTTACAGTTATATTAATGGATTTTACTTAGCAAGGGTAACATGATAGATAGTTCTCTATTTCCCTTATAGAGGCTTTGCACTGCCACGTGATGGCAGCCATGACAGGAGGCAGGAACAATTGAATCTGTTTTATTATGATTTACATGAGAAAAATTCAGTTTACTGGGGGTAAAACATTCTGTTGTGCCTCCTGTCATGGCTGCTGCCACGGGATGGTGCAAAGCCTCTATTAAATCTTCATACCAGTACTATCAGAATCCTTTTGTAGGCCTAATTAACCCCATTATCTTGTGCCTCTCAAAGGTTTGTGAAAGCATTGGTATGGCAGATGGGTAAAAGAGAAATGAATTTTTATGGTGAAGGTTATCGGGTCATCACTTTTGATGGTAGTTTGATCTTAAGGGAACATTAAACTTGATTTGTATAACAATAATCATGCATGCTGATTTCAAATGCAGTTAATGAATGTAATGAATATAACAAATGCACTAATCAAGGTTTTAAAACACTAATAGAATACCTTTGGGTTGTCTGTGGAAGCATAGGGGAGGAGAATAGCCCTTGGTGTTGCATGGTGTACCCAGATGTCATCCAACTGGGGCCCTAAAAGTTCGGCTACCCAATACCCTGTAATACAGCATAACCTATCCTGAGTCTCGTTGGCAAATTGGCAAAGAGGCAAATTGTTTCAGCTTGGAGAGTTTTCTTTAGTTCAGAATTCTATTTCTTGTAAGGTCAAGTTTACCCTGCTTGAGTTTCATTCATAGAGAAGGTAAAAGGATTTTTGAAGGTTCTGTTCTGGGGTACGTTTATCCTTAGAAGGAATAGAATTCTTAACCCCCCACCCCCTCCCCCAAAAGACCTGAGCTGAAACCATACTTTGCAATATGAAGGGACTTGGTGAATTACAGAAATGCTACTTGCAACACTGAAACAAATGAACCTGCTTTTGTGCAATGCATTTACTGCAAGTGAGTTGCAAATGAAGCATGTTGGCCAAAAGAGGGCATATTTCTTCTCCTTTCTTGCTTAAGCTATGTGTAAGCTGTATTAATGTAACACTTGTGATTTAAGGCCACAACAAACTTGATTTAGTAATTGTGATTGTTAATATTGTGAAGTTGCACCAATCAGAACTGATTTATGAAATAAAGAACTTAATTTTGAAAACCTGTGTGTTCAATTAAATCTAATTAAGAGCAGATTCATGGTTTTAAACCTCTTTACTATAGATATGTCTGCCCATTTCAAGTCATGTTTCATTCCCTAGAGAATCATCTCTTTGTTTAACGGCTGCGCATGAGAATACACATAAATATGGATACAAAGTTTGACACAAAGTTTGAAATAGTATTATATTCTCTCTTCTTCATTGTTATGATAATTAGACATGGGGATAAACACTCCGGATCGTATGTAAATACAATGCGAAGTGTCATGTTGGTTGGGTACTTTGGCCTCCTTTTTGATTTAGGAGAAGAGTGCAGGGCGGAACAACCTCCCTCCCCTAAATGAGCTGCCAATGGTTAAACCTATTTAAAGTCAGCTATAGATTTAATCATATCTGTTATTGGTGCTTGAGTTTGCACACTGCAGTGCCTCATTCTAAGAAAAATCCAGGATCTGCCCAGGATCTTCAGAACATCTTTCAATCGATTATTCTTTTCTAACTTTCTAGTTTTCATTTATCCACACAAATCTTAACTCAAAAATCCCAAAAGATGAAGAAAGGTTAAATGTTTTCCTATACTGTGTCACTTAGTTACCTACCTGTAAGTCATGTAACTGCAAGTGGATCTTTCGCCCAGCTCATGAACTGCAAAGCAAATTAAGATAGCTGCATTTAAAATGTACTAATATGTGATAATGAAGTAATATACTAATATCCATTAACATCATGAACATGCAATGGAAAAAATGCAAGGTGCTTAGGCTTACCTTAACTTTAATGGCTCCTCACGGTACAAGAATGACTCCAGAAAGACATAAGGCAAATTCCATAAAATGCTCTGAACCGCTTTATACAGAAAAGACAAGCTTAGATAACAAAATATGTACAATTTTTATTCGTCTTTTGTTATGAAAAAGCACCCCTTACATAAATATAACAAACTCAAAGTGTTCAGTGATAGGCATGAAAGGACAATAATTATTAACTAAGCTTGAGCAAGGAGAAGATTCAAGTATTTAGATGGTTTCTTGATTGATCAGGGCATATTCAACAGATTTCCTGGGTCGCGTTGGATCCCGCGAAGGTGGTCTGTTTGGTACTCGGTTTGTTCCGTTGGTGAGACCACTATCTTGGTCACCATAGCGGTTCTCGTATTCATATGCTGTCATGATAGGTGAGAAATGTCAAGGTAATAACTGTATTTAAAAAATAGGTAAATTAGAACACTTGTATGTGACGTCAAAGCATGTGACGTCAAAGCACCCTTGTATGTGACGTCAAAGCTGCTCAATATGGAGGACAAAACAAGAGATTTCAATCTCCTGAGAAGTGTCCAAATTGAGCTGCATTACAACTTGCTGCAAGTTGTCTATAGAGCTCTATAAAGGCCGGTTTAGACGGTACGATTTTCGCCTACAACTGTCGTATACAACACGCTCGCGCCATCCTACAACTCGAGTCGTAGCGTGTAAGTCAAGCCTACAACTCGCATACGACAGACGCAAGCGTGTTGTATACGATAGTTGTAGGCGAAAATCGTACCGTCTAAACCGGCCTTAATGGTTGATTGTAATTTTTGGTACGTCAATTCAGTGACTTATTAAAGGATATTTGCATATACAGGAAGGTAAATGACGTCTGTCTCTGTGACTATTTCCACATGGTGTCCTATTTGACCCACACCTGAATCGCCAACAACACCAACAGCTACTGCGAATATCTCGATATCAAGCTTAGTATTCATGCCTGCTGCAACCTGAGAAAAGAGATTAAAAACAAATGATTCTTTCAGAAAATATATACCAACAATATAATTGCAGCGATAAATTTAAGGTAGGAAACAAAGGCGTGAAAATTTCTAGAATTTTAAGTTATTTGAAGAAAATGGCGGGAAGATAATGCCGCGTGTTTTCTGAAAAAGTGCGGGAAACAAAGGTAGACGCGCGTGCTGCCCAATTAAAGGCGGGGAAAATTATGCGGATGCGCGAACTTAAATGAGTTGCGAGTTGGTATGAAAAGCATTTTGACATTTTGAAAGACAATTATCCGTGTACACCTACCGGTCCTGGATTGTATAAGACACGCAGTCCTGTCGATAATGGAGGCTGTTTGATCTTAAACCTACAGCTATCGATTCCCACATTCTTCATAATAACACTATGGATGTAAGTGCAGCCTTCTTTAAGAACTCCAAACGAGACTTTGGGTGGAAACATTTCGAAACCTCGTAGGGCTTCTACGCGTCCTGGAGAAATCTTGTTACCACCGGCAACGGACACGGTATGTACGCGACGACGAACGGGGTCCTCAGTTTCTAGAAACTAAGTGATTAAGACAAAGATTTTGTATAAGTTCGGAGTTTAACCACAAGTGCAGGCTCTTTCCGCACTCATCGAAAGAACTTTAGGAAGAATTTTGGAAATTTGTGAGTGAATACAATTATTATTTTCTTGTTGAACAACATCCAACGCGATAATAAGTTTGTAACATAGCCACGACATAATGCGCGCTCTGTTTGGTTAATTAGCGTGCGCGAACGTGTATCCAGAAATGGATGGTGCACGCTGACGAGATTACACTGCTTTCGTGCTTAGCAACCCGCGTGCATCCAAAACTGGATATACGCACGCTAAGTATTGACCATTCCTTAAATATTCACGAGTGCCTATAAGACACTGGTTAAATTTTAAACAATATTGTGAGCTTGAAGACTACGGTAACTCGAGTAAGAGAAGAGGTTGATACCTGAGAGTTTAGTAATGCGCCAGGCTTAGAGCTGAGAATAGAGGTTGGTAGTTTGACTTTGTCCTTTCTAACGCCACCAGTTACATCCATGTATAGGCTCTTGGCTCCTACCTTGGGATTTCCAGCTAGGAGTAAACAAAAAGAATGTGAATATAAATGGACCCTTCTTCAAAATCATCTTAAATGCAAAGCTAAATACAAATTTTAAAAAAATGCACTTTTTCTCGATGGAATTTGTGGCATTTATTTTGTATTTCCATGTTAGCCTCGCATTGAAGACAATTTTAAGAAGGGTCCATTATCAGGTAAACGAAACAGTAGAAATTTCTCATATGACCGAGAAGGTTTTGTTCATACTTTCTGTTCCCACACGTTCAAATAGTCTCACTAATAGCGGCTGCGTAGGAGACTAACGTTCAAAGCGCTAGTAATCATTTTAATTGACAGTTGCTATGGACGCTTCTAGTGACGCGGCAGACACGTTGACCGGAAACAAAGATTTTCCCCGCGTCGCCTTGCATTCAAGCGCTTCAGGTTGAGGCAACGCGTGATTAAATTACGTTGTAATTTGTAAAGCGCCATTGGACAGAAATGGAAATGACGCTGTATAAGAATTATTATCATTATTAAACAAAGGCTTTTATAATCATTGGAATAAACATGACAAATGTTTAGAAGCTGTGGAGGTACTCATGGTCTCCCACTTCCCCACCCACCTCCCCACGAGGGTTAATCTAGAACCATTCTCTACATAACAATGGTATCGCAAGAATCAATCTCGCACCCAGAGCACCGAAAAACGTTTTTCTTTGCTGAACAACAGGAACGTAGGGTCTTGGTACGAGATTAGACAAGAATAATGAGTAACACGGAAAGAAGGAATCTTGAACATGATAGAAAATTGATTTATGCTTACGTGTGTCAGTGATCACTTCACTGTTTTCTGAGGAATTATTGCTCTGGGTTACTATCCCATCATGCTGTTCGTCATGGGTACTCTCAATCTCTCGTACAGATTCCAAGTTACTCCGCCATTGTTGTTGCTCCTCAAATACAGGCGACGCATCATTACTCGATTCCAGTTCCTCTCTCTGACCCTCGGCATGTTTTGGCGTTGGGTTACTGGGTCTTGGATTGGAAGGTTTAGACGCATGCGCAGGTGTTGGGTTGTTTGGTCTCAAGGGGGTAGGGGTGCCGTCGCCAGTAGCATGAGCAGGGGTGGGGTTAGTAGGTCGTAAGTTATTAGGAGATAAGGTATTGCCGTTAGCTGATGGTGAGCTCTCATTCTCGTTATTTGCCGAAGCGTTTGTCACTTGAGCGATCTCAGGGCTGCAAAATTCCTGTGTGAATTTCTGCTTTAATTCTTCGCCACCAGAGTCAGATCTTGATGTCTCTGATGCACTGCCTTCCCCTGGGGGTGGGTGACGGGTTTGTTCAGCCAGTCTCGATGTCAGGGTGTCCAGATCTGGAAGGTTGTCGTACGCGCGATGAAGAAATTCTTGACCTACAAAGTTAGACAAGCATAACGATCTCTTGAGATAATTTGGAAGGAATCCATTGTATTGTAACCTTTCGGTTTTAAGGAAGTAGTATAATATACTTCATTTAGCTCGCTATGTAATCTTCCTCTATGGTTACGCTGGCTTCGCATGTAATCAATTTAGTCGTTTTTTTTCAATTGTAACACCATATTCCCTGATGATGGATCTAAGATCCCGAAAGCTCGGAAAATAATCAATATATGTAGATGAAACAACAACTGAATATTTAAGTATAATATAATAATAAAGTATAATATAATAATAAAGTATAATATAATAATAATATAATTAATATATATATTAATTTATATAGCGCTTTATATCTGATACTGAAAAAAAAGCGTCTTGGGTAATCTGCAAGAGCTGCGCCTCTTTACATGAAACAGAAATAAGAAGGTTAGCGATAAAAAGAATGTCGCAGTAGTGGCAGCCATGCTTGATGACAGGAACAATACAATCGTTTTACATATGAAAAAGTTCAATTTCCGAGAGTAAAAGGATTCTATCCGTTCTGCCATCTAACCACAGGCAGCCCAAGCTGTATTATGGGCGTAGGCACGTGATGTTGCAAAATCCCTGTATCATGTTTTGCGCAGACAAGAGCAGGAGAACTCAGAAAAATTAACGGAAGGCATCAAATTGTACGGCGCCCAGCACAGGAATCGCACAAGAAGTTTACCAGTAAAAGATCTTAAACACAAACCTCGCGCAGTTTCAAAATAAGGCGGAACTTCATGATTTTTCAGAGCATTCTTCCCATACTCCAGTTCGGCCAGTTCAATCTTGTCTCGTTCCCATTCTGATCTCGATCTTTTCCAGCGGGGTGGTGGAGGACGGGGGACTGGAGCAGGTGTGATTGCATCCACATACTGTTGACCTACGGACTCTCCTTGAATTTTACCTGCAAAAAGGGGGAAGTGTAAAACAAAATGCCCGTCATGTGCTATCATCCAGAGAGTATTCAATTGCTTGGTATCAATCACCTGGATCTCAGGAATCTCAATATCAACCTACATTGATCATGACAGACAAACACTGCCCGTCATGTGCTATTAACCAGAGAGTATTCTATTGCTTAGTATCAATCAGCTGAATGAATCTCATTACCATTGAACAAACACTGCCCGTCATGTGTTTTCAATCAGAGAGTGTTCTATCGCTTGGTATCAATCAGCTGAGTGAATCTCATTACCAGCGAACAAACACTGCCCGTCATGTGTTTTCAATCAGAGAGTGTTTTATCGCATGGTATCAATCAGCTGAGTGAATCTCATTACCATCCAGCGAACAAACACTGCCCGTCATGTGCTATATACCATGCAGAGAGTATTTCACTGACCAACCTGACATAGAATCAATCACTTCTTTTATTCCGTCCTTGATTTCTGCCTTTTCTTCCCCTGGTTCCGGTTCTTTTTCTTCAGGATGGCTGTCTACATCTTTAGAGTCACTCTCTTCCTTGACTTCCTTTTCTGCTGCTGTCATCTGTTTAGTAAATTAGAAAAATGATTACATTTTTCACAATCACCATCCTTCTAAATATAGGGCTTTTAAATTGTGACGTATCTCCGGGTCTTATCACACAAAAGATCTCTAAAATCTTGCCACAACTAAGTCTTATTCCCAGGATTTATTCTCTACCCTTATCAATTAGATATATGAACAGAAAATCCTGCTATGAAGAAAAAAAACACAGAAAAATGTCTGTAGAAGTCAATTATCAATTTGGATCCGGAAGTCGTCACGTTGTCACGCAACGTTACGACCCCAAGAATGTCTGCCTATAGGACTTTACACAATAATACGCCGTCCAAGAAAAAGAGTGTGCGCTGCTAATGCCCTACCGATTTGGTGGGTTTGATTCCTTCACCTGCCTTCACGTGATTGAAATTGCTCGTTGGTTCTCTTCTGTGCTTCGAGGGTTTTTCTAGTTTCCTTCTCTCCGAATTCCCTGCTAGCAGAGTTTCTTCTCTTTCTCTCCCTTCTTTTAGGCGGGGAGGATGGAGACTCTGCCAATGTAGAGCGTTTCCTTTGATACACCGCCGTCCACAATCGTGAACGAACAAAACCAGTTTTAAAACCGGTTTTTAACCGGGTACAGGTAGTGCGCATGAGCAAATGTAACACACCGTGACAGCGTCGCTTAGTAACGCAACGCAGGCGCGACAAGTATGACGTCCTACGTTGGCAGAGTCTATTTTTCTCACTCCACCAAAACAAAAGCAAAATAACCTCTGCTGAGAGGGAACTCTCCGAAAAACTAACGCTTTCAAATTTCAAACAGGTCATGGAATGAGGGCCACAGGTTTGTTAGCCATAGGCTTCTAAATACTACCCTCGCAAAACAAGGACGATTTATATGTGAATCAAAAACGAAAGAAGTAAGCATCTTACCTTTAGGTCCAACTTCTCCGCGATGAGCTTCTCGCTTTCATCACGGGGGTCCTGTGGTAGAATAGCATCGAGTTTTTCCTGCCTTTTTGTCACATACTCGCTATACTCTTTCATACAAGTAACAATCTGTTGTCGCTGATCGTCCGTTAGACGCTTGTACTCGATCAGCTGACGGAATTCAAAGGCAGGTGGGCACGTGATTGGAGGAATTGATGGCTTATTTTTGATGATCGTACCAACATTGACACCGGCACCTGTTCGAAGTAAGATGTGCACAACGTTTAAAGATTATGCATTCTGATTGGTCGATTACTGTTATCAAATGATAGTAGTTTGAAGGGTGACGTCCGGTTGAATGAAGACAACTTCCGGTTCCTAAATGACAAACAGTTATGATTTTTCTTGAAATTTTGCTCGCGAATTTTGGTTTTATCTTCTTGCTTTTATTAAACATTTGGACCGAGAAATGCGCCAAAACTTCAAAGTTGTAAAGAGTATATCATAGTGTTGCACACGAAATATGTTGCCCTTCAATACTACCGATTACGTCTGAAGTCGCAAAGTATCTTACAAAGCTAAGATGATGAGGCCAGAATGACAAACAGTTTCTGGCTCTAGCTTAAAAAGGCGCACAAAACTTGCCTTTTGTAGAAATCTTAGCTCTGCTTTGCAAGGCTCTCTGGTCGCGGGGGAAGGGGGGGGGGGGGCAGGCAGTTCATCCACCTCCTCCTTCCCCCCCCCCCCCCCCCCCCCCCGAGCCAGCAACCAGGCGCTACCTTTGGATCAACA